AGAGCAATTTCTCCCCCCCGCCCCGGGGCTCCGGGCCCCTGCTGAAAACCGTATGCGTCGGGTCAGCACCAGGGTGCTGACGACAAGGTCATTGTCTCCTGGTAAAGACGCTAATCCATTTTGCGTGGCCTCTTGCCTGGTTGCTTGCAGTTTGCACACTTTGTTTTGCCCTTTGCAAATATTTCTTAAGATAAATTTCAGGCCCACCAAATGCACGGAAGATGAGGAATTCAGAGTTTCCTGTGACTCATCAGTCCGATGTTAAGGCTTATGAAACAAAAGCCAACATACTATCTAGCATTGTTGATATCCACATTTGAGCCTTTTTAGTACTGGAATGTCATACCATTCTTTAGAGTATCAGTGACTTTTGTAAATAAGCCATCTAATATTTATCCCCTAAAGTATGAACTGTGGAGGTTTTAAAAAATTGCTTTTGTTGTTGTTTTCCACCGTGAGAAATGGAAGACTTGACTTTATTGTTCTTTTGTGGGATTTTCTTGAAGTCCACTTCCAGTAATAAATACCCAGGTATCCACATATGTGCTGATTTTCTGGTAAGAGAAGTGATGTTTATTTTTAAAAAGAAAGGATGAATTGAAAACCCAAACTTTGTTTTACATGTCTCTTGAGACATACGTATTTCACTTTCTGGGAGCCCTAATGCTTTGGAACTACAACTCTGAAAAGGAATAAAAAGCTGACATTCTTTTGAGAATTCGCTATGAAATAAAGGACGGGTGCAAGTCGCCCTGATTAAGTACTTTGAACAGATGATAAACTGATTTTTTTAAAGCTTGACTTTAGTTTCGAAATAGGCCTTTTATATATTATGAACTTCAAGAACAATATAATGAACAGTAGCATAAATTTCTCAGGAATCATCATAATCAAAATACCTCTTTTATATATTTTTCCCCCTTGGAATATCAGTCTTTCAACCCATTTATTCTCTAAAATTAAAAATTGTCATTTAAGCCTCCTAATACATATTATAAAACTCATTTCACCTACAATTAGTGTTTGTATCCTAGAGCCATTAGTTTTCATAATTGTGTATTCTATCGTGATACATAGAGACTGTATAAAGAGGGAATATTTTAAAAGTATATTGTCCAAGTCATTCATAATCTCAGGGCTGGTCTCCCTTGAAGAAACAATTAGACAAAAGAAGAAACCACTGTATTATTAAGTTATCATTAAAATATTTAGGAGATCTTTGGTGCAGAAGCCATTTTTTGTGTGATAAGACATTGTTACACAAACAGAAAACTCTAAGGAAAAAAAGTCACCTCTATTTCTACTCGTATCATATTGAGGTGCTCATCTTACTGTTATTAAAATGAATACCTGGAGTCTTTGTAGTTAGTTGTGCTACTACGTTGATGAACAAAAATGTAGAATCCTAAAATAGCATTTAAATGCTGTGTGCAAAGATTCTCCACAGGGAACATTAGATGCATCAGAAGGAAAAAAGAATTCTTGTCGATTAGCTAGGACTTTCAATGGGCAGATCTTCCAAAGATATCCAGCACTAACATGTGTTAGCTTGGGACAAGTTGAACTAGAAAAATAAAAATGAGATAGTTCACTTAACAGCATCCTGTCTTCTTCCTCTCCATTCTCAGCTACTTAGAGGTTAAGTTTGGTAAGAAATGAAAAGTGAAGAGTTACGCTACCCTTCTGGAATGCCAACATAATGAAACCTAGCTAGTGTAAATAATACTGGAGTGTATACATTTTAAGGGCTTCGCAATGAAAAGTTATTGTCCTAATAGCTAACGAACCTAGTTCACTTGTCTATAGCTAAGATGGTAAAGGAGTATTTAGAATTTGTTCATAGTGATAGATGACCAAAGCATGGACAAACAAAACCTTTGAAGAAAAATCGATGAGCTTGGGTTCCTTACCTTAGGAGACGAAGGGACTGAAGATTGCAGGGAGGGTGGCATGGAGTGGGATGGGTTAGGCACATCAGAGCAGGGCACAGAGCCAGAGTGTGAAGGCCATATTAAGCTCTCCCAACTGAAGTAGGGAGCTGAGAAACTGTACTTAAAAAGATGGAGGGCATTATTTCAAAATATCCACCATAGAAGAGGGCGCAGTATAGTTCAGTCTTACAGAAGATCATTCTAGAAATGGAGCTTAGATGACCCGATGGTGGGCAGGGGAAGATCTGGTCCAGCCAGCTCAGACCTGGGAAGAAAATTAGCGCTGTGGCAAAAACTATGACTGCTTTTAGGCCTGCCTAACAAATAACTTTTCCCACCTTCCTCTGGAATGCTGCCCAGTATCTTCCGAAGATATTTAAAGTTTCAGGAGTTCTCATCATTTAATGTGTACCAATTGCCATAAGCCGTGGATATTAGGGCACATGAAGCTTTCACTGTGAAGACCTTAACATTCAAGTGTTCCAGCCTCCTCTTTCACCATGTTTTGGGGTCTGTGTTGTTAGAGTGGGCCCATGGGTGTGGCACTCAGGACCCTGATCCCATGGTCTCTTGACTGCCTCCTGCACAGGTCACCCTCAGTGAACACCAAGATGCCCACATGCCAGGCCTTGTCAAGTAGCCCTATATGCAAAATCTTTTTTGTGTGTGCTTGATTTGCAGTTTAGCATATGAATGAAAATATGAATGCTTGAATGCAGGTAAACAAAATTAAGTAGTTATAGTTACTGTGATTTCAGATTAGATTCTAATCAGAATTTTTAGATAAAACCAGCTCATTTCTGTCTGAGTATTTGTACTTTCTGTTTCCTTTCACCAGAATATTCTCTGAATTTTGCATGGCTTCCTTAAACCATTTAAATCCAATGTAACCTCCTTAGAAAGGCCTTCCTTGATAGATTCATCTAAAATAGCTCTCTAAAGTTCTCCATTCCCTTAGTCTGATTAATTTTTTTTTAAGTCTCAATCTTCACAGAACTTTGCTTTACTTACAATGAGCAAACATCCAGTAGTTCTCCCTGACACTTCAACAACCATTCTCCCACTAGGACCACAAATTCTCACATGGACAGCTGTCTTTTCCCTTGGCAAAGATGACTATAATGTAATGAACAGGAAATATGTGCCAAACAGGCAAAGCTGCCTACTTGAATTATTTTATTTAATTTTCACAACCATAGATATATCATTGCCATACCTATTTAACAGATGAAGAAATTAAAGCAAAAAAACACCAAAACGAAACAAAAAGGCCCAAGGAAACAAACAAAGGTCACACTTTACTAAACTCATAGGGCCAGAATGATCCCAGCACAGTGACCACGAGAATCCTGTGCTGTCATCCACTCTGCCTGTCATTTCCTCCCCACAGCACTTGCACAAACCTTTGAATACTTTCTTTCCTGGAGCTTCTTTGTTTTCTTCCAGACTATCTCTTTTTCTCTTTCTCAGCCTAGACTCCATGGGCTATCACTTCGGCATCTATATTGACTATAAGCTCAAGTGCCGTGGTTTCTTGTGCTTCTGCTACCATCTTCCTCGAAAGCCTTAAATCTTGACCAAGGCAGTAAACTGCCTTCCTTATTCCTATACCCAGCTGGCTGAATGCTGTTGAATAAAATCAGTGTTATCTTTGTCAAAGCAAAGTCACAGTCTTCAAGTGTATCTGTCCCTAATTCTGCCTAGAATTTTCTGTGGCCCTCTCCTATTTTCCATTCTTTTCCCACTTTCCATAAAAAATGAATTCAGATCTGAACTGATTCTCAAACCCTCCACCCGACCAGTGAATGGTCTTACGCAGTTCACTGACACACTAGAGTCCTGCCCTTGGGAGCACACCTTCTCTAAATATGTACATCGGCGGCCACCCTCCCTCATTTTGCTTCATCTCAAGAGAAGAGTTTCCTTCCTTCTCTCCAAGGCTAATTTCTGCTCCTGAGGTTTGAATTTTGCCTCCTGGGGTCTTTGCCATATCAACTATCTTCTTTCTACTCCATCTGCAATCTCTCCCTCTCTATTTGCTCTTCAGCATGTGGGCGTACCCAAGCATCTGTCATTTTACAAATAATTAACAACAGCTCAGTTTCCACAACCCTTCATTTTTCTGAGTTTCCTTAGCTAATGTCTTTTCATCCTTCTGTCCATCATAGGCATGTAAACTCCCTTCTCTTGGTTTCCTTGTGTTCCATCCACTACTAAGCCTATGAACTTGGGCTTGTTTTTTTGGTGCTCCTTTACCAAAGCCATGGTGCTCATGTTTCAGGAGCTTCTTTTAGGCCATTGCTGCCCTCAGGCGCTCCTTTTAGGCCACTGACTTCTGTGGAGGGTTTGGCATGCCTGACCAACCTTAGGTCCCTCCTTTTCTTGGACGGTACTCTCTCTTTCGCTTACCCCTGCATCCCTGGGTTTCTTTTTAGTTACAAATTCCTCTTCCTCTGGTGTTTCTGAAATAATCATTCTCTCCAGAGTCTTCTCAGTTTTCTTCTGTCCTTGCTTTGAATATTCTCTAGATTAGTTAAGCTTCAACCATAGAAGCAGGGCCAGAAGTAGGTGGCCCTGTTAAGAGATCTGGATTTTTGTCTTCCTCAGGGAGCATCAGCTCTGCTCTTAAGGCCCTCCACTGATTGTATCAGGGCCATTCGATTATCAGGGAGATTATCTAGGACACTCTATTCTGCTTAAAATCAGTTGACTAGGGACTTTAAACACATCTACAA